GGAACACATTCTAGTAATCCCTTCTCATTTTCACAGCCATTTGTGCACCTGTAACTCAAATAATGAAGCCATTTGTTATTTATATTGCACTTTCCCCTCCATTCTAGATTTCTAACGATCTGACCCCGTTTTATGGCCCTGACAAAGCCTGAAACCGGTGTGGACTTCCAATAATTGAACGATACAGGGAAAAATCTTTAGCTGGAATGAAGCAGATGTTAGCTTCATGCAGTCCCCTAACTTGATTATTCTTTGGACATGTTAGACAAGCATTAGTGATTGATAATGACGCTAATTAACCCCTTTCCTTTCCAAAACAGCAAACCAATGGCAGCAGGATTCTGCAAACAACACGCACAAAGTACGGCATACATCAATATCCGTTCAAAGGATCAGTCACGCAACTCCATTGCCCGGTTCTCAAGAAAAAAATCTTCTCACACCGACAAAGAGCCGGCTCCAAATCCGCTCTAAGAGTTAACAGCTCCCGCCACTCGCAGGGCAGGGAGCAGAGACATAGCCCTTGGATTCAGCAAAAGGTGCACGGGACAGAAGCAGAGGCACCGTTTGTTTTTTACGCTCCTGACCTTTCGCGTTTGAGGATCGAGCCGGTTTAAATCACTTTGCCCTCACGAGCTGGGACGGGCTTCGCGCTGCTCCCCGTCGGAAGGGCGCTGGTTATTTTAGCTACAGTTTGCCAACGCGAGGGCTGACGCTCTGGGAATCTGGGCTGGGCTGAGACATGCACGTACCGAGGAGGGAAAGGGAAGCGCACATTCTGGAATTTAAATGCGAGGCAGAAGACGAGTAAACAAACAAGGGCTGATCTGATTACGCACTCGAATTTATCATGGACAATAAAGGAAACGCCTCTAAATGTAAGGGTTTGGATAAATGAATACTCCTAGCGAGTGAATAAAATGTATTCAATTAACTAAAAACCTCGTGCACTTCTGAACTGAAGTGGAATCGACTGTAATTGATTTATTTGAAACCAGAGGTTAAGGACTGAATTAGCTAAGTACAACTGGGTATTTCAAGCCACTGACTTCTCAAATGTCAAATCCCTTCTATTTTAAATATTATTTCAGCTGCGGGGCATTGCCGTCCTGATGGCTGTTCCACCAGTTAAATCTCAAATTATATTAATATTCGATTTTTGGAGGGTGGGGTAAATTACGGTACGAAGAGGAGGGCTGTCCTTGTTCACGGTGGAAGAGCACCGAGCTGTATTTTGGTTCACATGTAGGAATTAGCTTAGCGTGGCAGCAACGGTCTGACGTTCCGCCACCGCTCACCCTTGTTTCAGCCAGTCTGGGGGAAAAAAATAACAGCAGAATTTTGTTTAGCGTATAAAAGCATGACCTAGAATTTCACTGCTGTGCATCGATCACGACGTTAAAAACACACCCGAAGAACGCTAAAGTAATTAGCACGTTTTAGTAACTGCGTGTTGGTCACAGCAGAAGAGGCTGAACCGAAGCTAGTCTGATTTCCATTATCGCCTGTAAAATCCTTCCTTAGAAATAATGGCAATAAAGAAATCTATGCAAGGTCATTTCATGTCTCTTTTCTGGTGGCTTGCTACTGCAGCAGCAGGATGCTTAAAATGCGCTCTCCTGGCATAAAGTAGCTAATTATATCTTTAAAACATTATTTATTATGACCTTATAATGTTCTAGCATAAGACTGCTTTATACATTGCCCAGTATAAAACGATTATATTGGGTACAGGTTTCAAAAAGTAACAAGCATCTGTAAATCCAGATATGAATGAATGGTATTTAATAAGATCGTTTTCGTTTAAAAATGAGTATTTATGTGTTGCTGTAGAAAGAGCAGCAATGTATTGCTGTTTATGAATGCTATTGTGCCTGAGGTTAGGATCCCACACGCAATCTGAGATGCAGCCAAGAAAAACAGCCCTGATAGACAATGCTTCACTTCACCTGCTACAATACTGTGCATTTCATTTATGTCAAGAATATGTACAGTTAGGGTTCATTCACCTCATTATTTTGTTACATCTACTTTACAGTTAACCAGTCTCTCTTGGAAATAATAAATAACTGTTTTTAAAACAATTGCAGCTTTGCATTCAAAAGATCCACTTTCAATTTATAGGAAAAAAAATATTCACCATTTTTATAAACTGGCTGGCTCTCGAAAATAGAATTTAGACTCCACCAACTCTCTTTCTGCTTGGCAAGATTGATTTTACACTGCCTTCCATAAGTAGATTACCAAAGCAAAATGAAACATCTTGGGCTTTATCTAATGCTTTGCTTCACCAGCCCTACCAAACGTCAAAATATATGAGCAAATGTTAATTCTCTCTGCAGCTTTATTGTAAACACCTCCCTCTTAACCTCTTCAATTTCTGCCTGGGCGAAAAGGGGAAAAAAAAAAAAAAAAAGGAGAGACAGAGAGACAATCAGGGAGGGAAGGAAAGAGAGAAAAATAAGCCGCCACCACCAAAATATCATCAGCACTTAAAGGAGACCATCTCTTTAAAATGCCAGTACATTCTAAACCACATTAGCCTCCCTCCCTATGATATAATATAATCCAGCCTGATCCTGACTTCACCTACCCCCTGGGCCAAAGAAAATAGATTCAAAGTCTAAATTCTCACATGTTTTTACAGCCCATCTAAGACGTGCGCTCCATTTTTTAAAAAGCAAACTTCCCTATTTTACAACTGGTTTCCACAAGAAGAAACTCCAGATAAAAATTTCAGTCTCTTATAAACTGACACGACCATCTCAAAATGTCAATCTGTGCAATCCACTAAAACACAAACCATCAATCAGAAATAATCTGTCTCCTGCAAGATTTCACTAAAGTTCACAACCGTGAGATGATTTTGTTGGCATCGACTACGGAGCTTTTCTTTTTCCTTGAGGGGGAGGGAGCACCCAGCTCTAATTCACCAGTATGTAATTTTTTTCATAGCACCAATTTTCGGTATTTGTTCGATAATGATTCTTTTTAAAATGTCCTTCTTGAGATAATGTTTTGTTGTTTTTTTTTAATCTCTGCTCTCCGTTAGGACAACTACATGTACAAAATTGCATAGGCTTATTAGTTCTGCACGCTAGATATAAACATAAATAAAAACCTAGAGGTCAACATAAATAAAATAAAACTTTATTTTTTTAAATAAAATTATGTTTTGGTTAAAGAAAAGATAGTGTGTCATTTTGTTAGTAGTACAGACAGTTTTTTATCCAAAAGAATACATTGTGCTTTATTGTGTCATTTGTCTGAATACAGACTCAGTGGAATATCTAAATGATACCCTGCTCTGAACTCCAAGTTGAAAGTAAGTTTTTATTATACTTGAGGGAAACAATGGGTTCAGCTGCTTATTGCAAGGAGCAATTGTCAAGGGAGAGTTAAACTCAATTACTGTAACCATACTGAATAAAAAATACTGCCAAGAACAAAAATACGCCTGGGTAAAGACAGCCACTGAATAAAAAAATCGACATAAAGCGTATCAAATATTTATTTATCTGGGCAACAAAGGACTATGATACATTGACAGGCATGGAAACTACTGCCGGCACAACTCAATACAATACAACTATAACTGCTTCCAATATGGCCAGTGGAAATACAGGATACCAGGTGGTCCCGAATGTTTGAAGTTCTTTGGGAAAAAAAAAAAATTAAAAAAAGAAAAAAAAGGAGAAAAAACAAAAGAAAGGGAGAAAGAAAAAAAGAAGGGGGGAAAGGAAAGAAAAGCTAAATCTTATTTTAAAAGACAGTATTAATTTATTGCTCTGATGGTGCTTTCGGGAGAAGGACAGCGGATGAAAAAAACTTCTTTCATTTTCCACAACACATAAGGGTTGTAAAACCACTAACATGTTTAAAAACCTTGCCAGGGTCCAACATCACTTTATTTTATCTTCAATGAGAAACTAAATGTCATACTAATTATATATAAAAATTCATGGTGTTTTATTTGTTCAGCTGCTTCATTGTCGCCTTTAACATGCTACAACAGGGCTAAAAATGATGAATCCCAGAGAAAAACCCCCAAAAAACCTCTGATATCTAAATAAGTACCATGAACCACATGATGAACTAAGAGGGGAAGATTTAAAACCCACTAAACAAGAGGTAAACGAGATCACCAGATAAATAAAAAAAGGCTTAAAACAGACTCACCATATTTACAATTCCCATTAAATTACACATAAATAAATATATACATACATGAACACTGATTCCCTTATATAATAACCGTGAATCGTGTTGCAATAGAAAGTTCAAGTTGGTCGCTTTACCTTGGACAGGAAAAAGTTCTACAACTGAAGATATGACATGGAACTGCTTGTGTTTTGTGTTCAAGTTTATTCACAATACTGATAAAACGTCATCAGTCCTTTTTGCCTTTTGTTTGTTTGCTGTTGCTGCTGCTGTTGCACTTTTTTCTTTTTTCTTTTTTTTTTGTTTTTAATATGGCTACAATCTTAACTGAAGTTTATGTAAGGGAAGGTGGTGATTCAGTCCGGTGAAGCTCATAGAATTTTTTAAGTATTATTTCTTTCTTTTTTTTTTTAATTTTATAAATTTTTTAGAAAAAAAAAGTCCTTTTCTTTTTTCGCTTTGTGGGTTTTGTGGGTTTTTTTTTTCCTCCTTTTGTTTTATTTAAAAAAAAGTTCACAAACTCAAGACAGAACTTTTTTTTTTTTTCATTTGCTGGCTCCGTCCCCCTGTTCTGTTCTCTTAGGCTCCAAACTGGGGTAAAACGATGGTGGCAGCAGGGAGGGGCGGTGGAGGGGGGGAAGTTAAGAGGAAGCAAATGGAAAGCTGGATGCTGGAAAGGGGTATGGGGAGAGGGCAGAGCAGTCCTGCAGAGTCACTGGCAGAAGGACGCTCATTCTGCTGCTGTAGCCTGGGGTGCTGGGTGCAGGGGAGCGGGAGACGAATGGATCGATGCGCTATGAGGGGGA